GTATGTAATATGATAGTGTATACTTAATCTAAGTTTTCTATTTTTTTGGGGGGGTTTTGACCCATTTTTTTTAAAGAAAATCTACTTGACCGGTTTGTCCGGTTAACTGCTCCTGTTAGTCCGGTTCCGGTTCGAACCACTCCCAGCCTCATGACCGATTAACCCTTCCGGTTCGATTTTGTGAACACTGGTTTGGCTTTGATATTCGCAATGCAAAAACTTCGACACCATTTGTTGGCACACCAAATCCGGCTCATATAACGGGCCGACCCCATCAAATACCTTATGACCCATCCTTGTTCATCAGGCCGTCTTGCAAAATGGCCCCTCCTTATGGAGTTCGACATAACCTATGTACCACAAAAAGCTATCAAAGGACAAGCATTAGCAACTTCTAGGCTGCACACCCTCTCAAAGCGGATTCTCCTCTAGCATATGATCTCCTAGATGATGAAGTGTTGCATACTAAGTTCCCATACGATTGGAAGATGCACTTGATGGAACCTTCCAAGCAGGGCGCAGTGGTGCAGGGGTGGTGTTCTGCACACCCAAACATGACCTCGTCCCACTATCCTTTTCCCTTCATATGGCGAAGTCTCACAATAAGGCTGAATACTAGGCACTCATTATGGGCCCCAACATTGCTATCCACATGGAGATAGAGTATTTGGCCGTCTTTACAAATTTCAAGCTGGTGGTACGACAACTCAAAGGGGTATATGATGTAAGGAAGGAGAGTCTCCTCCCCCATTATAACACTGCCAAATCTTTGATTGCGAGCCTTGATGGCGAACCAACCCGAACCAAACCTGATCCAAGCCGGACCAAACCCAAACCCAAACCCAAACCCAAACCAAACCCAACCCAAACCGAGCCAACCATATAACCAACCATTGAGAGTGTGCAAACTCGAGGACACCGAGGTGGCAAGGAACGTGCGGGAGTCAAGTCAAACAGTGTCCATTGAGCGACATTGGAGGGCTTTCCACGGCAACTCTATGCGGGGATCTAAGAGGGCGAAATGCCCAGATGCGTCCGAATCCAAACATCCGAGGTACGTACTACCTCAAATTTAAAATTGTTGGTCAGTCATCGCACCACACGCACGCTTTATCCATACACACACCACACGGGCACCGGGATTACCCACATGCGCACACGCTCGCACGAGAGGGGTGAAGAGCGGGGCAGAAGACCGAGGGGGCCGGCCGACCAAAAAGATTGCTCTAAATGAAACAAGCTCCTTATTGGCGTTTAGAACATTTCCCCAATCCTTTTTGATGAAAAACTCTCGATTCTTATATGATCTTATCTGTGTCGGATTTGTTCATTGTTTTGTGCATGTTTCCTTATATTTGTGTTGGAGTCATATCTCTTTCAAATTTTTCTTAGTACACATTTTAGCGAAACAGTTAGCTCCAGCAGATTAGAGATGACATTGGTGTTGTTCTATGGTTAATTCTTTAAAAAGAAAGACATGGATTTAAGCTGACGATAACATCTCAAACAAAAAACTTCATCATACCAGTGGAGAAAAAAAAAAGGCTCCTAAAGACTAAAACCAGGCAAGCACAAACTGATATAAGGTATTATGACTCCTCGAGTCATTCTTTCCTCAATCAACTCAGGCGGAACCTTGCATGCTCTCTTAGAGACTCTATCATGAAAGAACGGGAAGCCAACTAACTCATAGCCGCCCACTCGCTCATATGACCGGCAGGTCAGAATTAGCCCTGATTCGTTCTGCTTCTTTTTTTTAGTACGATCTGACTTTCATTCCTTATCCCAGTCTGAAACTAGAATAGCCTTCCGGTGAACGACCAGAAAGCTCATAAATGGGAATCACGATCAAAAGAAACTTAAAGGACAGACCAAATTCAGTAAGACTATCAACCATGTCATATTTCTAATATGTCTAACTCATATACAAACTAAAAAGAGAAGTTCAGCAAAAGAGCATATAATTATGTGAAAAATACAATATGGAATTTACCTAATATTGAAGGCTTCCTTGAGTTGGCCTTTGTTATCAAAAGGTATAACCTGATAAAACAAAAATGCATCAGCTACTTTCAGCACAAAATGATTATGTTCCATTATATTGCCCATTGGTAGACATGAGAGGATTTAGAGTGATAAAAAAGCAGATGACAGGACCATGAATTGAGATCAATTTCAATAATAATTTCCAGGTTGTATAAAAATATCAGCAAAAAATACAATAAGACCATGGTATTGAATTAACAACTAACAACCAATCTTAATTTTGACACACCTTAAATAAGCCATCGTAAAGATGAAGGCCAATTAGTCGACAATCAGGATCAATAATGCCAATCTAAAAAGGCAAACAAACAAAAAGTCAAAACACAAGGTACTGCAGTCAAAATCTAATAAAGATATAACAGAATATAGATAAACCAAGCCAAGTGACTATGATATTAAAACGCAGCCGAACCATGTCTCTAGTTTGCAAACTAAAGAGCAAATGTTTATTACCGGTCCAAGAAGACGGCCTACAATTCCCATAACTTACAAAGATCTCCCAAATATTACAATAGTACAAATTTGTTCAACTAAATAATATTAATAAAAGCAAGCATAAATAATCATAAAAGACAAGTTTAAAAATAAACCTGTCCATAGTCAGTAGGACGGCCTATTCGATCAGAGACATCTCCCATTGCCCTACAAAAACACAAACGAAACCCTAGCAATGTGTAAGATATATAATGCTCGTAAAAGCACAAATATTCAAATTCAAAAAAAAAAAAAACAAGGATAAGGCTCTAACAATAAGGAACAAGTAAAATAAGATTTCAAGGAGTCCACTAACCCACTTTTAAGTAAATGGGAAAACACCCTTAAAATATCATTCAAGGGGTCAAATCATCCCTACTAGCATTTGAGGGCATACTTTTTCTTTTTTCATTTCACTCATATCATCATCATCATCCAAGCCTTATCCCAATTATTTAGGGTCGGCTACATGAATCCTTCTCATTTCACTCAGATACCTCCTCAAAAAATTCTTTTAAAAATATCGAAATTGTCCTTGTTTAGTATTTGGAATGAGGAACAATGAGGGGTATTCTAGTAATTTCACCCTCAAAGAGGCCTCATCCATATGACAAAAATACCTTAGTTGTTTTGTATTCACAAATATTTAACTTTTGTTCAATATTTGTAATGCGGAACTAGGGGCATTTTTGTCATTCTGCACCTAAATGCTTTGCATCATAAAATGACAAAAATACCTTTAGTCGTTCCAAATTACTAATATAGAACAATGTGTTCCTTATGCACAACTAGGGGATTTTTGTCATTCAAGTAAAGCTTTGTCATTCAGGTAAAGCCTCATGGGGTCGAATTACGGAAATGCCCCTCATGATTCCTCGTTCCAAATATTGGACAAGGGTAATTTGGGTATTTTAAAAGAATTTTTTAAGGAGGTATCTAAGTGAAATAGTAAAAAAACAATATGCCCTCAAGTGTAAGTATGGATATTTCACCCCTTTAATTATATTTTAAAGAGTTTCATCCCATTTAATGATATCTTCCTTTAAAAAAAAAAAATTTAACTGATCAACAGCAGCCATAAGAAGAGTTCTATATTCTGCTAAATGAAATCAAAAGATAAATGCAAATGGAATCTTCATAAATTCCTACTACCAAGGAGGACGAACAAAAGGAAAAAGGCACATCCGCAACATTTTAGCTAATAAGGACTACGTATAAGCCATATTTCTCCATTAATGGGACCAAAGCAGCAAAACCCATAGCTTAAGCCAAAAGCAATAAGAATATCATAACTGATAACCAGAATGAGAAAGGTAGGCAGTAAATCTACCCTTATGCACCAGCTAAACCTGAGAGGCCATGACTGTTCCATTAAGGGTCACATCATATTAACATTTTTTTACACATGACATCAAATAACAATCTTTCACTAGGGTGTTTCATTGTCCAAATGTGGATCCTGAATGAACCTTGCAATCATGAAGATAACTCCCAGGTCCAATTTAGGCACTAGGCTACTAATACAAATTTATTAAAATGAGAGATGGATAAATCAAAGTTAAGAGATAAAGATTTGTATCTAAGACAACGTAACAGCTAAGGCAACATAATGTGAAGAATATATATAATAATCAAAAAAGGATACTATGATTAGTATAGTGTCCACAACAGAAAAACCTCTCATAGAGGAAATCAAAGAACTGAAACAAACTGAATTCAAAGGACGTCATCCAACGCTGAACACAACTCCAACTGCTGATTTAGGCGTGTATTATACAAACTTATAAAAAAGAGAGATGGATATATCAAAGTCAAAAGATAGAGCTACGTATCTAAGACAGAATGTAACTGCTGAAGAAAAATATTGAGAACGTTCATCCAATAACCAACAAATGCTACTATGATCAGTATCGTGTCTATGAAAGAACAACAGTTAACTTTCCCCAAAAAAGTAGTCCAGCAAAGGCCAAAATCACAAAGGATGCCCAGACTCAAAAGAGTGAAACAAACTCAACTCAAAGGGCATCATCCATATGCTGAATCACAATAAAGGCACAATCTGTGATACACATCCTGCAACATAGGCTGGACTCATATAGAGGAATTCATACAAATACATAAGTAGGCAGTGAAAAAGCTAGAGTTCAACATACAAACTAGCCACAGTACCTCATAAATGAAAAGAAGTAATATGCACACTGACACCCACTACTTTCCCCTCTCTCCCTAGCCTCTTCTCCCAACCCCCTATATCCACCATTCGTGCTGCTCTTATCATGAGATCGCACTCAATCTCGACTCTTGTTTATCTTCTCCCAGTTTTGTAATTACAGATTCATTTCATACAAAAAATGGAAAAGACATAGCACAGCACTACAATGGCACAGCATCGCAGTCTCTTAGAACATTCCTAACCACCCTAGTACTTTTAATCATTCCAACACAAAATTTGCCTCCATCAAAACATAAAGTAATAGGAGTAAATTAGATAAAACAGCAGTATCACATGAAAATAATAAAATAAGCAACAGAAAAATAGTTTCACAAAATTAGCAAAGATCAATTTCAGATTTTAAAGAACACCTTGTGATGAGCTCAGATGCATCAGCATCCCATTGAAGGACACAAAATTTGTATCTTTCTGTTGCAATGAATAAAAAATCTTGAGCTTCACCCTACATATGAACAAGCGCAAGACATTTAATCTTCACCATCAAGAAATGAACAACAAAAATGTGAACTGTAAAGCAGTTCAATGCAAAATACTAATACTCACATGTGGGCGAAAGAGTTCAAGTGTTGCTATCCTTCCATATATTGGAACATCCAACATAGGCTGCAAATTCCGTACAAAGATTTATATTCAAGCATCAATATAAGATAAAAGATAACTTCAGTCGTCACAAATAGAACACTACTAGATGAAAGTATGATAAAAACTTTATAAAAAGTATTGTCTTATTTCCTATAATAATATAAATCATAAAAGAGTCGCATGCTACAAAAACCCACTTTTGGAAGATATCTAGGAAAAGAATGATAGATATTACATGTGATTTAAAGATACACAATTCAAATTATTAAGGCAAAGAGCAAAAAGAAATTTCATGGCACAAAAGCACCCATTGTATTCAGCAATGCACAACACTCTCTTAGACTCAGAACTAATGTCTATTGCTTCTGTGGGATTTGATAAAGAAATCAACAATCCACAAGGCAGACAATAGACATAACACATTGATAGAATGACAAAAAACTCATATCGAACCAAGTGATAATCAGCAATGCATGAAGTGCACTCATGCAATAACAAATTGACAGAAATTAATAACAAATTGACAGAAATTAGAAGGGCGATGTAATATGATCGTTGTAGACACTAGACAGAGAAAGTTAAACACCCAAAATCATCCAAAGTAGTTGAAACCAAACAATACTGGTCATTGCGGCATCATCTGGTTCTTAGCTTAAAAGCACAGTTTACAAGGAGAGTGGCTTGCTTTTTCTAACTCTATTTTACCATTCCAAGAAATTAAGGGAGAATGATAAAAAAAAAACAGAATGAATGAATGAAATCAATGTTTAAATGTTCAGGTTCCCGAACTGTGTGCCTTCCAGGTTTGAGTCGACTCGGTGAGTCGGCATAGGCAACTCGACCAATATTGAAAAACAAAAATTAAAGAAATTAGGAGAAAAATGTCCAAACTCAGAAAATCACATAAAAACTAACCAATCAAAATCAAAACAAGTATTTCATGTTTTTGGAAGTAAAATAAAATAAAATAAAATAATTAAAATTAAAAAAAGTAAAGAAAAAAAATAAGAGTAGGAATGAAAATGGAAGGAAAAAAAATAACGCAAAAATAACTAAAAGCCAATCTTTGATATTTTTGGTTTCGATTTAAAAAAAAAAAAAAATGGGCAGTTCCAACGACTTGGCCAGCTCGACTCACTGGTTTTTTTAACACTAAATAAAACAAAGGGAGCCCTAGGAAGAAAAGTTTGCTGATTGTAGAACTCCAGCCAATAGACTAACCTACCCAATCAACATCGAAATAAGTAAAGAGAGGCCTATGGATAAATACAATAACAACAAGAAAGAATTTGATAGGGTTCAGACATCACAAATAATACAACAAACTCCTACAATGCAAAGACCTAGGTATATATCCCTAGGAACCATGAACTAACATATTCATAGCATACACAGTCCAATAGGGTGATTGTAAGATAGAGAAGTCTCTCAATTAGTTACCTATGAATAGCAGAAAAAATGGGAACTCCATCATCTCACCACTAACCAAAATTAAGTTCCAATGGTGCAGTACCATCTGAGTCAAGTTCGATGGCCTGGGCAATCAAGTAGCGAGTATAGTGGGTGGCAAGTTCAACTCCCTAAAATATTTTAAAAAGCAGACACTGGATCCAAATCTCTAATCTCAAGCAAAAATATAATTGAAGCTTGATGGCTGCAATCATAACATGGACTGTCACTGACATTGTGGCAACTGGGAGATTGATTTTCTTGGAGTTAGGGAAGGGTCATTGGTTGGCCCCTATACAGGAACATGAACGACGGAAAGATAATATTGGAACTTTGAGAACTTATTGTTATACATAAGGTCAAAATCATCCATGTTGACAAGGATGACAGAATGGTCAAATCTTTTGAACCTTTAAGGTCCAACTTGTGAAGTAGAGTTTTGAAATTGTGGAAGGTGAAGACCATGGATGACATTTGCAAACAAATCCCCTGGCTTGAAAAGAATTCGTGAGAAAGATTGCTTATTGCAGAGTATGATGGGAGACCTGATGGGGAGTATGATCGAGGACACTCAGCAGAGAGGCTAAGAAGCAATAACCAAAGTTTCACCCATGTTGTTGTCAAAGACAAGGCTGGCCGAAAAAAATCAAGAGACGAACATCAATTATTTCACCACATGGCCAAGGAAAAAACAACTTTACAACTAACAAGGTGGATTCTTACTTCAAATAACTTTGAGACATGGATTCTAAAATATTGTGTTTCCCAAAAGAGCGTAGTACCAAAATATCAACACAAAGCCCAATCTAGAACTCCTCGAGAGTTTCGAGGTTGAAGTTGCTTCTTGACCATTGCTAGAGAGAATATCAAAATGACCACTTTTAGGTGGCCCTCAAAGGTGGCAATTCATATGGATTCATGTCTAACAGATGGCTCTTTAAGGTTGGAAGCAAGACCCAAAAAGGTCAGGATCGAGATCTCAAAAAGGTTGGGATCAAGTTCCTACCATTTGGGGATCTTGATCCCTAAGAAATGTATTGTATGGAAAGTGCTCCCATCCATAGGGATCTTCTAGACCATCATGATCCCCCGCACCCGATCCCAAGAACTATGATTCTATGCTTGCCGTCCAAACTACACACTACCATTTGTGTTTCTCTATCCTCCAGTTTGTTGAACTCTACAAAGCTCTTAGATGATGCTTTCTTTGACCAAATAATGTACAAAATCTGCAAGCTTTCAAGTACCCCTTCAATATTATTCTTGAAATAAAAAAATAAAAAAAAATGTATCAATCGCACACAAGTGTGATCTCCAGAATACAACAAAAGATCACTTCAAAGGTCATCTAAAATTGCCACATGGATCACTCACATCAGGTACTATGTTATCAAAATCGCCAGCAGGAGCTTGTAAAGACAACAGAAAAGAAGGTAAAACTCCTAAAATAAACTTCTCATATAGTTTCAAATATGAAAAATGAACATGAGGCAGCAGTAACTCTAATGCAGTATTTGGACTATTTTACGAGCAATAGACACGAATTTTGCTGCATACCTGTAAACCCTGTGGAGTAAGAAGATGAATTTCAATGCGTGTGCATTTCCTGGGAGAAAGAGTAATAAAGTAAAGAACATGAGATTTGCTTCAGAAAATGCAAACTAATAAGAGATTTCATATAAGCTCAATCTTACACACTTCACGGCCAAACTTCATTAGTTTTGCTATAAAAATTTACCAATTGAATAAACAATATTAGAAAAAAATGAATATCACTGGTCAATTTACAAATAAAATTTCTTCATATTACATAAGAAAGAATCATAAAAGTAAACACTTATCAACTGTCAAATTTTATATTCTCAGTGGAAATGACTATAATCATAGAAGAAAAAACCGAAAATAAAACCTTAAAATTTGAAAGTTACAAGAACCCGAGCTCAGAAGAGTCAGAAAATGAGACCTGATTAAAAATGCATGAATTTGGAGTGAACACCATCAAAACAATTATTGAACGAGAAGCAAATTATTTACCAGTGCGAAGCTATTCTGATTCCAAACAATATAATGAATAGAACAAAATAAAACAAAAATTGGAAGGCCAAAAGAAGGAAAGTTGATAACCCCAATACAGAACAAGGCATAAATAACCATAACAGGAAAAAGACCGGCAAATCACTTACGCTATGATTAGGTTGAGTTCCTGAGGACTAGTGAAGTTTCCCACACAAGAATGTGTCACATTTGTGGGCTTGTGAGCAGTCACGACATAGTTCCAGACACTCATGATTCAGAAAATCAGAGAAGACAACCCTAGAAATGGAGAAAAGAGAACAAAAAAATCCTAAAAAATATATATATAAAGAGAGGGAACGCCCTATTACGTCTGGCACTCTCTACAAACGATTAGATAGGAGAGAGAAAGCCGTCTTTGCCTCTCACTTTTGGGCTGAGCTTCGAGAATGCGTTTTGAGAGATGGCGAGGTGGGAGACAGCCAAACGGGAACGCCGCTACGACAGATGTACACCTGGAACAATTTCAATGTCACACGTGCGAATGTGTGGGTTTAATTGCCACTGTAGTCAACATGAGGTGAAAATTATGTGAACCTCACGATCCATGATGCTATGCATCAGACCCGGTTAAAAGAGTTTTATTTGGAAAAGTTTATATAGAGCTTACCTCAAAAATTTCATTAGAAGAGATTGTTTTGATGCTTAAATATCTTTAAATTGATCATCTCCACATAAAGATGTATGGATAAGAGAAAAAAATGGATTGTAAGTTTTGGAAATAATGTATTTTGTAACGCATTTTTGGACCGTCAATTTTCAAGATTTTCAAGTTTTAATAGATATGTCGATCTACACTATTTTTGAAGGTTTAAACTTTATAAATAAATATGATAATACGTTTTAAGGCTATCACAAAAATTTTCAATATTAAAACCATATTTCTCGATACTATTTGAAGGTAAGCTCTAATTTGATGCTCTATACGAACCGCGTTATTTTTCTTTGGTCAACCCTAAGGCCTTTTTTGATTCCATATAATCTTTGATTCCATAGAAATGGGTGCCCAGAGGGTACATCTCTTCTAAAATTGATCTCCTCGAATTGGAATTGACATCTCTGAGAATATAAGTATCTATTGTTTAGATAGCATGCAATAAGAGATTGGGAAGATGTTTATCCATCGTTTGGATTGTAAGGAAAATGTGCATCTCAAAAAGTTTGAAATTTTATTGCATCGATATGTTTTTATTATTCTCAATATTACATGGGTAGATTTTTTATAAAATCTTTTTGTAGTTTTTAGTAAGTGATGAATAGACGATGACATTTTAAAATGGGAAAGGTTTATATACTTCCCCTACAACATAGAAGATCTATGCTTCCCCTACCATCCAGTCGTCCAATTTTGATCAAGAGAGCCACTCACTATTTGATCTTAGATCCAACGTCTCAAAGTATTTTATTTTTAATTTTTTTATACAAATTGTATGAATATGAAATTTGGTGCCTACCATCTTCTCATCGGGGCGCACCAATAAAAAATATTATTTTTTTGGTAAAATATAATGACCAAAATACCCCTTGAAACTTTTAAGGGTATATTGATCATTTTATTTTATTGGAAACTTTTTTATATTTTTCACTAGTGCGAGTTAATAAAGGATTGGATGTAAAAAATTAAAATAGTTTGTAAAAATAATTAAAATTAAAATAGCGTAAAGACGTGACATTGTGATTTGGGCAATATTAGCCCTCCATTTAGAATGGACGATTCGATAAGGGGAAGTATATAAGGTTTATGTTGAAAGGAAAGCACAGAAAGCTTGCCCTTTTAAAATTGCCAAGTGAGAAAGATCGATAGAGAGAGAGAGAGAGAGAGAGAGAGAGAGAACACAGTACGATAGAGAAGGAGTAGTAGAAAGACAGAAGATTAGAAGTTGATGAGAGATAGAGAGAAAAGGAGAGAGGTGAGAGATAAAAGTGATTAGAGAGACAGAGATAGGAGAGAGAGAAAGAGAGAGGGAAGATGGAGAGAGTGAGAAAGAGGATAGCAAGTTGATAGAGAGAGGTTACATATGATAGATATAAGTTAGAGAGAGATAAAAAAGTTACAGAGAGAGTGAGAGAGGGAGAGAAAGGTTGAGAGAGAGAGAGAGAGATGGAGAGAATAATAGAAAAGGAAGAGTTCTAAAGAGGGAGAGAGGGAGAGAGGTTATAGAGGGGCAGAGAGAGTGAGAGAGAGAGGAGAACAAAATATCGAGAGAGGTTCGATGAGGGTTTGGGGTCTTTCTTTTTTAGGCAGACCAAAACATATTCTAAAAAATACAACTTACTGTTTATCCGAGCTGATAGTTCACGTTCAATCTCCCAAAAAATATTATTTCCACCTATTTTGGTGGAATTTATATTTATACAAAAAGGGTTTAAAATATGGATACTAGTCTCCATGCAGAAATACAAATCTCGCTCTCTCCACGCATCAAAATAACAGAAACTGGTCATTGCTCCAAGTAAATTTTTAAAGGCATTTAAGGTAAAAAATTAAAAAATGCATCTCCTCAGTTGTGATGACCCAGATTTTCCCGGCCAGCTAGAGTGCATGGTGGGATAAGGAGGAAGGAAAGAAGAAGAAGGGAGAATGGGTGGCAATAAGAGAGACAAGGAGCACCGCGTGTAAAGTGAGCTTTAACGGCTGTGTCATTGCCGCCATGCTTCCGCCAGCTGTGTAGAGAGAGAAGGCTAGTGCCATCTGTGAAATAAGAGAGTCAATGCCGTGAGTGTTTGCAAGGAGGAAGTTTCACACACAGCAGTGAGTTGGAGCAATTGGGGTAGCAGTGACTGTGTTTCACCGTGTGTGCAGCGCCGGCCGGTTAGCGCTGGCTGTGTCTTTGACATGCATGAGTTGTAGATGATACTTGTTAAATACATCTTGTCCAGATTTTTGAGCATCTTGGTAACACTTGGTCAGCCACCTCAAACACAAAAGTACTTAAGCCTCTCTCTCACCCACGCCACTCTTTCTTACTTCATCTCTCTCTCTAAGACACAAGGTTTGAAGAAGTGAGAGTTGGAAGGCAGCCATTGTTGGGCGGGTGAGAGCTGTGAGAAGAGGGGTGGAGAAAGCACCATCGTGGTTCATGTTAGTGGATCCATCACCATTGCATTGTAGTCATATGGATGCATGGGAATTTATACATGTGAAATGAAAGTGTATGTGATGTAGAAAAGTTTTATGTCATGTTCACTGAAAATTGGGGTTTTTGTTCTATGATAATGGTGGATATTGAGAATGAATGTATGATTCTTAGATCATGTAAGAAATGCATGTTATGTGTGTGCATTGTGAGAGAATAGTTGTTATCATGTTCTTCACCATGGAATGAAGGTCGTGGAATATATTCTAGAGACATGTTATATGCCACTGTGAAATTCTTGAAATATGTGTATTCTTGAAAAGATGTATGAGTCTAGTAAAATGTTTATTTTTGCCCACTGTTGAAATTCTTTAAAAAAATGAAATTATGTTTCAAAATGAGAGGGTATATCACTGATGCTACTATGGTCACTGATTTTACTTAACCAAAAGGAATCCATTTTCGGTCAAACTGTAGCCATTCGAAAGATCTTTAAACGGGTCAAAATTTTCATGAAGAAACTATTTTGAAACTCTTCTTAGATTGAAAGTTATATTTTGTTTTATGAAGATATGTCATTGTGGGCAGTGTTGATAAAATTCAGAACTATCACCTTGTTTGGCATGAATCTTTGAACCATCCAAATGTTTTCAAATTATCTTTGCTATAAATATACACGTCTTGGCTTAAACTTTGATTTTTGAAACCGTCACAAGTTGCTTCACGGTTTGGGAGTTATAGTGATATGAAGTAAGGTATGTCGTTGTCCCCTGTGCACCGCAGGGTGCAGCTAGTAAGCCCTCACCCCCTTAAACCTTTAAGAGGTCAAACGAGGTCCAATTGTCTTCAAACCCAACACCCCCCTACCCCCCCCCCAATTGAAGGGATAAGTGTGTTTAGTACAAATTTGGTTTTGAAACTGTCTTCAAACTCCAAATGGTCCAGGGGTTACGACCGCTAATGGTAAGCGCACGTCATTGTCCTTAATGGCATGAAACTAAGCGATAAGGCTTAACTGAAATATTGTTTTTGTTATTATGTGTTAAAATGTGATGTACCACTACCAAAATGTGATATTGCTACTATCATGATGAGATACTAATATCGTCATAATGTGATACTATGCGGCTTATGTGTTATGTGAATGGGAACCTACTATATGAATGATGGTAAAGTGCTGCTTATGTGATACATGAACGGGTACCTACTGTGTGAATGATGATACAGTGCTGCTTATGTGATAAGTGAATGATGGCACTGTGCTGCTTATGTGATATAGGAATGGGCACCTACTGTGTGAATGATGGCGTTGACAGCTAAGATCTTTTCCTAACTCCCCATGATAGAACGAGAGTCAGGATGTGAATATTTGGGAGGGTCACGCCCCCTGGATCTATTTAGGCACTACGTATTGGGTCACTCAATGATAATGTAACACTCTCTCGTTAGAAAGGTATAAAGAGAGGGTCGTGTCTTGCAGGGCCACTGCCTATTAAAAACCCCAAAGCTCGTTGAGGATGTGTGTGTGTGTGTGTGTAAGGACATTACGAAGTGGGGCACCCACTTGTCATTTTCCTCCCTCCTGAATGAGGGTAGAGGTTTTAAGCGGCAGGATTAGCTTAACTTGAGCAATAGGACTTCTACTTCAGGAGTAGCCTTTGCTACTTCTGTAATTGTGTTATGTTGCCATTACTGCATTGTTGATATTGAAGTGATTTATGATTCATGTGCTGCATATTAAACTGTTTCGTCATAATATTATTAGAATTTTGGAATGCATATTGGAGAACTCCACTTGGTACTTTGTGAATGTATATATGTATATATGTATATTGCATATTGTTATTACAGTTATACTAGTTGAAATGCAATTGTGTAGATTTGCTTACTGGGCTATTAGCTCATTCCATCTCATTTATATAACTGTAGAGTGAAGAGTGTTGGTATTTGTGCTAAAGGTGGGCGGCCGTTTGGGGGTTTGAAGCTACAAGTTTAGAAGTTTGGAAAGCCGTCCTCCAAAGACGTTCATAGTATGTTTTGGTGGTCTCAGCAATATGATGTATATTTTATTTTGTGTATTTTGGGTCAGTAGTGCCTTGAAGGAGTTGTAAATACTTTTTGATATTGGATGAATGAGATGGCTGTACTTTTGAATTTATATTTGTCTGTTGAATGATTTTATTCTAGTTTCCTTTCGTGGTCTGCTCTTGATCCCGTGCTTTTATGCATTGAGCCACTCCCACCCGAGTGACGTTTGCGAGCTCCGATCGCAATCCCATGCTCTGTCATCCTCCTGCAGAGGTCAGGGGGCAGGGTCGTGACAATTATGGTATCAGAGCAGCCAGGATATGATTCTTGGCCA